AGCTCGCTTGGGGAGAACTTAACTAATAGCTCAGAGTTGTTAAAATCTTATCTAGCTCTGATTTAAAGGAACCCAAGGATTCAGCTTGCACTATATATCGAGACCCTCTACAACAGTGGAGGGCATTCTGGGCCTGAAAGACCCTTCTCCTGCAGTCCCAAACAGGAAGGAGCAGCAAAATAGTCACCGGCAACCCCCCCCCCCCCCCCAGACACATATGCGCCCCCTGGTGGGGACCGATGGTGGCGCAGCACAGTCTTTCTGGCACATTGTGCTGGTGTGGCTGTCCCTCAGGTCTCCCAGCCATGGCAGGTTTCACACCTGGCCTCCTCCGTCAGCAGCAGGTAGGAGTTGATGGCATCTCGCAGCCCCTCGCTCATGGGGTTCTCTCCAGGGTCTCCCTCGTTCTGACCGAAGATCATGGTGCTGAGGACAGAGGTGGCGCGTGAACGGCGGCCCTAAGATGTGGCCGGGCGGAGCGATCACGGAGTAGCGACGCACCCACTTACAGTCACATGCCCACACGGTGTGGGAGACTCACAGAAAAACAGGAAAAGTCAAGTAAGAAGAAAACCCCGAATGTCACATGGAAGGCGAGAGAGGCTGGCACCCCGCATCACCATGAAAGGTCAAAGATGAAAGGGGTTCCCCGCCCAGACGAAACAGGGGCCCCTCAGCAGGATCTTACCTATCCACCTCGTTCCAGTTGAGTGGGGGTTTCCTGACAGGTGGGGGTGGAGTTCCTCTTATCACAGGGACGTTGTTGTAGCCCCGTATAAAGCACGGCTCCCGTAGGGGGCAGCAGAGAGCCTCACTGGCCTCTGCGAGGGCGTGTAATTGGTTAGGAAGTACGGTCCATTTCTGTGACTGGCTGTAGGTAATCGATAGTCGTGAAATTGTACAGGAATCAATGGGATCGGCGTGGTTTAGAGATTCAGGAATGCTTTTCACCAGCCCGTTTGGAGGTATGCTGCTAAAGTGGTAAAATGTGCTGTGCTGTGCCACATGTGTGGCATTAAGGCTGATTTCTCAGTACAACCAACAAACAGCCAGAGCTCTCGTGGCGGGAGAGTCCACAGGCTCAGGGCTTCAAAGGCTCTGTCTCTGTTCCTCTCCCTCTGCAGTGAAAAAGCTGCACTGCAGGTTGGGCGTTGAGTGGCGGCCTGCCCTGTTTTTGTAGTTTTGTTCTTTTTGTGTTTTCCCCTGGGGAGAGAGGAGGCCATACCCACCTGAGTAATGTTCAACCAGCTGGGATAGCGAGGGGAAGGTTGTCCCTGGCGAGATGTAGAACCAGCCATTGGGCAGACGGTGGATGCGGTAGTGCTTCACCGATCTGCCAGAGGAGTTTGCGTCACGGCGCACAGAGAGGGAGTAGTTTCCTGCCGGGGGGGGACAGTGATCAGATTCACCGTGTGTCACATTAGCAAGTAGCCTTTCTGTAGGGATTTGTACTGAGTAATGGACCTTAAGATAAGATAAGATGACGCTTATTGATCCCATGGGGAAATTCTGGGATCAATAAAGTTCAGCAGGAATCCTTTTATGCAATTGGACAATCAGTGTAAGAGTCCAATTAATGAGTTTGTCCTGATTTAACTCAGAGGCTCCTTATCCACAGCACCGGCTGCTGACTGATCTTTACTCAATTTTCCTGTTTGTGTTTTTAAACATTGTTGAAAGAGGCACCTGAACATCACTCATTCAGCTCTGCTCACTTTAGTCGCAGTGAACGCAGTCAAACATAAATGCATTTCAGTGACATCAGATCCACAAGCGGGATACTTATTATGTGGCACATTAAATCTTGACTGCAGATTTAACTCCTGAGTGCCGTCGCAGGCATTGCGAGCGTCCTGACTGCTGCGATGCAGGGGCCTCACCGATGTGGGTGGGGCTTGTTCGGACCATGAAGGAGCCAGGCTGGTTGTGGGGTTGAAGCAGCAGTTGCTCAGTTTTTTCCCGGGTGATGCCGTCAAAAAGCCACCTGTAGGGAAACAGAGCGGCCAATAGGGGGCGTCAGTGCAGGGCGGCCTCGGTAGCGCTGACCCTCGATGACCTTGACCTTGAGCTGTGACTCACCCATGGAAGACCTTAGCAGTGTAGCTGCTGGGGATGTAACACTGCCTGCCCGTAGCTGTTGAGCTCACCTTCCACCAATCGCCTTCGCTGTGACAGACAGGCCAATCAGAAACCAGGATCCACAAAGCCTCCAAATAAATCTCAGCACCCACGTCAAGGCTTTAAAAGTCAAGGCATAGACCTTTTGTTTGCAAAACACTGACGTAAATCAAAGACATAATGGAGGAAAAGAGAGAAACAGAGGGGGCTGGAGATTTTCTGGGCTGATGTCATGCAGTCATATAACTGTTATGGTTCCTCTACCAGATCGTAAATTAACTGATTCTTCTGTGGAGCAAATGCTTGTATGAGAATTTCCATGAGCAAATGAAAGCTTTAGCCTGTCACATACGACCCAAGTGGGCGGGGGAGTTCAGCCTCCGAAAAGCCTCAGAGTGCTGAGGCCCGGCCTGACATTGCCCCAGTCCTGCAGGTGGCAGAACAGCTCATTGTCACAAGCCCACGTGTTCAGACAATGGCTGCTGTGTCAGTAAGGGAAATCATGTGGCCGTAGATGGATGTTGTGTATAAGGTGTGCTTATACACAGTCTGCAGACCAAGAGGGTCATGCTTATAATTTATATGAAGACTGTGATGGATGAGGCCACATCAGTTTTAATGGTTAAAAACCGCTATCATTGCCTGGGGGGCTTTTGGACGGCTTCACTTCTTACTCTGACAGGATGTCGAGTCTCTCCCCCAGTGTGATGCCACCCTCCGCCGTCCCTTCCAAGGAGGGGTAGTTATACAGGGATACCACCACGGGCCGGTACAGGTCTGTAGCAGGCGGGACGAGAGACCACTTTAGAACACGTGTTTGGATGGACTGGATGGAATGTACTGCAACGATGTGATCAACGCTGGCTTGTGTTGCATGAAAATCCCAGTCCGGCCAAGTAAATGTTTTCCCTGAGTTTTACCTTCAGTGCAGTTTACATCTGGATCCACACGGAAACTACAATTCCAGTAAGGGGCACCAGAATGACCCCAGAGCCGTGTGCTCATTGACATTGTGAACATGACAGCTGTGGGTCTGTTTCCCGTGTTTAAATACAGGTGTGTGTGTGTGTGTGTGTGTGTGTGAAACCATTAGGCGTTCACCCCGCAACAAACGTCTGAGCAGTGCCAGGAAGTCCTGAGGAGACAACCCTGCTTTTTACCAGCTCTGTGACACTGGGTTGCCAATTTTGGTCAGCCGTCCGGAATGAGACGTAATTATTACATGTATTACAGTTTTATTACCTTGAAAATAGCCTGTAGAGTTTGCAAACTACCCCAGTGCTTTTGATGTAGCTAATTTTAGGTTTATAATGGAATAATATAGATTTTCCATAAGATTTCTTGCATGAGTTTCGTGCCAGATGCATCAGAGTTGGCTACTAGCAAAACCAAGCAAGAGAGGAACTGAAGCTCAAATCCAGCAGGAATTTGGCACGTTGTGTGAACTTAAGCAGAAATTGCCCAATGAAGCAGGATACTACTACCGATCAGCAGTGACGACTAAACCACCTGAAGCTGATAACCTACTTTCTGTACTTCAATAACCATAAGGCATAGTCACACATGTTGTGCACCTCCTCATTCAGGAAGCCCCTGGAGAGCCTCCCAATATAGCGGCTGGAACCAATATGCTCTTGAATATACTGTATATTTCTAGCAAACAGGAAGAGGAGTTCGCTTCATAATGGGAATTCCAGTTTTATATATGTTCAGTCCTGTTTTTGGTCTGCATCCCTGCAGTAGATTCAACAAGCCACCCTCATTTGAGTCTGTCATACCTCGCGATCGATCAGAGCAGGGCTCAGCCAGGGCTGCCAACTCTCACACATTTGGCATGACACTCACGTTTTCTGACTCTCACGCTCACGCAAGCAATCATTTCATTATGAAGCTAAAATTAGCTACATTGAAAGCTTTGGGGCTGTTGGCAAACGCTACAGACTATTTATAAGGTAGTAAAACTGTTACATACATTTAAATGCGTGTGCAGATTTGTCTGGAATAGAAAATCTCATGCCAGCCAGCTGACCAAAGCTGGTGACACTGGCTCAGTCGCAGAGGCGGGGAGACGGTCTCAAGATTGGTCACCCACCTTGTGCTGTGGAATTTGCTGTGTCTGGGCCTGAGTTTGACTTTCGTTTTCTTTTGGCAAGACAACTGCCCATGATGTCTGAAGGTCTCCTATTCCAGGACAAGAGTGGCGGATCTGGGAAAAGAGGCAGGCCAAGGTCATCAGGTCATCCTCCGAAGTCTGCACTTCTAAGCCACTGGTGCATCGTGCTGCCACCACAGTGAACTTATGAGACCAAAACGGGCTTTTCTGTAAATCTGTCGAATCTTTTTCGATGGCCATGCAGCTCACTGCGACATGTCACACTTAGCTGCTGTGTTCTGTATCTGTGGGGCTCCCCCTGGTGGCTGGAAGTGCAGTGCAGCACGGTGCGTTTACACTGGATGCAGATTGTCTGCCCCTAAGTGTCCGTGAGGTAAACTGTGCTGTCCGTAGCCTTTGCTCTGCCCGCGGCATGACAAGCCGGGCAAGGAAGCAGCCGGAGATGTGAGCTCACGCTCTCCCACATATCGTTACCCAGCATCCTCCACCATTACCAGAACCGCATGTGCTCTCGCCGAACAGCTACTGCGTTAAACTAGCGGGCTGGAAGGATTCTACAGCGAAGCGAAAACAGAAGTAAAAAATCCCTGCAGAATAAAGAAAAGCAGCACCAGATGTGTATAACACTTAGTGGCCCCTGTCCCCCTTTAATGCACGGCAGCTCAGTGTCCAGATATTTAACATCAAATGCGAATTTTATAAGCAGCCCAAGAGGAAAATCATAACCAAAGGAAAACAAAATCTTCCATCTGTTTTTAAGCCAGTCCAGTTTTGACTGGCTTATCCTATAAAATCAGCATTAGCTGACTGAAACTTGAAACTTAAATTAGCTAATAACTGTAATAGTCACCCCTTTTTTACCAACATAAAGTCAGCAGAAAAATAAGCCCCCCCCCACCCCACCCCATGTTTCTGAAGGTTGCTGCTTCTCAGTATTTCTCATAGTGCTGAGGAGGATGTAGAGAGAGAGAGAAACAAACGGCATCTGAAAACCACGCTTTCCAACCGCACGGCTTATTATGAACGGGGGCAGAGAAGAGCTAATTCGGCAGAAGCCGAACAGCACTGACTGCTCCTCCGCATTCCTGGCCTAGAAGAGGAGCTGAATCTGATACTGTCCTCTTGTTGGTCACCTTTGCATAGAAGCAGAACATTCTGGAAACGCCACTCGGGCCTTGTCACGGTCATCTTACACATGTGGAGCGTCCTGCAGCTGGCGGTGTGAAACATCTTATGCCACCCTGAGTGGGATTCAGACTCAGACTCTGTCCCGAAGCCACCCCCTCCTGGTCTGCCATTGGTACTTTTGGAGTATCTCATGTAACATCAAACTTACAGCTCACAGATTAAAAAGAAACATCCACCCTGACTCTTCTCATGGCGCTTCATGTTGCACGGAGCCCAGCTCTCCCTCTTCCAGACATACGTACAGCTGGGCTTCAGCAGCAATGGTTTGGCTCCAACAACTCGTTCAGGAGAGGAACCTTCAACTCTGTGATCTCGAGCCCTTAACCGCATCAACGGCAAGATGACGTTTGTGGACACCATACTCTGGATGCTCCCTGAGTTCACAGTCACAGCAGTGATCGGCCTTGACTTCCTGTTAGAAAGCACGTTTAACCCTAAATACAGCACATTGTTATACCTGCAACTGAAAATAACAACTGTGCACATGAGGTATTTTAATAATGTATCTCACCAGTGACAGGTTTACATACGAAGGGACAGGCAGTCTCCCTGCACACACTGTCCACTGAAAGAGATTCTCAGCGTCTGTCCTGTAGGATAAATGTCTCGGGTTCAAGTTTTCGGGTGGAAAAGGTCGATCCAGCCCCAGACAGGCTGATTAGCCGGAATTTCTGCAGTGACCATCTATCAAAAATGACGTCAGAACAGACTGTCAAAAAGACAAATCAAACTGAGAATGTGAAGCATGAACATGAGGCAGGAAGGGATCCTCACGGTGAGTCCGGCTGCTCTCCTCTGCTCTCGTCCTGCTCACCTCTGCTCTCGTCCTGCTCTCCTCTACTCTCCTCTGCTCTCGCCCTGCTCTCCTCTGCTCTCCTCTGCTCTCCCTGCTCTCGCCCTGCTCTCCTCTGCTCCCACCCTGCTCTCGCCCTACTCTCCTCTGCTCTCGCCCTGCTCTTGCCCTACTCTCACCCTGCTCTCCTCTGCTCTCCTCTGCTCTCCCTGCTCTCGCCCTACTCTCGCCCTGCTCTCGCCCTGCTCTCCTCTGCTCTCACCCTGCTCTCCTCTGCTCTCCCTGCTCTCGCCCTGCTCTCCTCTGCTCTCGCCCTGCTCTCGCCCTACTCTCACCCTGCTCTCCCTGCTCTCGCCCTACTCTCGCCCTGCTCTCCTCTGCTCTCCCCTGCTCTCGCCCTGCTCTCCTCTGCTCTCACCCTACTCTCCTCTGCTCTCCTCTGCTCTCGCCCTGCTCTCGCCCTGCTCTCCTCTGCTCTCGCCCTGCTCTCCTCTGCTCTC